GCACACAGAGGTGGCTGTTCGAAACATGTTTCTCACAATCGCCCTCTTTGTGTGTGAAGGGTGGGAGGAAAGGAAATGAACAAGAATGTTCTTGTTACTTGACTTTCGATGCCACTTTGTCAGGTAACCACTACTTGATAGGTTTATTTGAACGTTCAAAAAAGGAAGCCAGTTTTCTCTCGGTTTCTCCCAGGTGAACTTTATGTACTTGGACTGCTCGTCCATAGCTCAAAGCATTTGTCCATCTCCTCCTGCGTAGAGAAGACGACAAAATAATCATCTACATATCTGCAGTAGAGTAGTGGCCGGAGATCGAGAACAGGGGCTTCTATCTTAGACATAAACACAATGGCAAGGTTTGGTGCCAATCGCTGTCCCATTGCCAATCCCCTTATTTGCGCGAAATATTTCCCAGACCATCCGAAAATCGAGCAGTTTAGGCACTCCTTTAAGAGAACCATTGTCGTCTTCTTCACGCAGGAGGAGATGGACAAATCTTTCGAATAATTGAACGAGCAGTCCGAGTACATAAAGTTCACCCGGCAGAAACCGAGAAAAACTGGCTTCCGCTTTTGAACGTTCAAATAAACCTATCAAGTAGTGGTTACCTGACAAAGTGGCATCGAAAGTCAAGTAACAAGAACATTCTTGTTCATTTCCTTTCTTCCCACCCTTCACACACAAAGAGGGCGATTGTGAGAAACATGTTTCGAACAGCCACCTCTGTGTGCACTACCAGGGAACTAAGGGAAGAATCGCGCGACTTGGCTCGGCAAATAGCCATCTCCAATGGTTACGAAATAGTAACCCCACGAGATAAGTTTACAAAGAGAACGACGCGCCCACGCGAAACACTTGGCCAAAACAAAGTCCCGTTCATGTTGCCTTTTATAAGCGATGAAGTAAGCGTAGCTATAAAACGATGCTTAAGAAGGGCAAGTCTAGAGGAATCGGTAGCGATAGTTGAAACCCCACCGGNCTAGGCCAAACGCTTCAATAACACTTACAAAAAGACGAAAGACTCTTTGGTAATTACACGATCAACAACTCGAAAAGCCACCTCTGTGTGCACTACCAGGGAACTAAGGGAAGAATCGCGCGACTTGGCTCGGCAAATAGCCATCTCCAATGGTTACGAAATAGTAACCCCACGAGATAAGTTTACAAGGAGAACGACGTGCCCACGCGAAACACTTGGCCATAAGAAAGTCCCGTTCATGTTGCCTTTTTATAAGCGATGAAGTAAGCGTAGCTATAAAACGATGCTTAAGAAGGGCAAGTCTAGAGGAATCGGTAGCGATAGTTGAAACCCCACCGGCTACTCTACGTCGCCAGTTAGTTCGCAGCCGTCTGTATGACCGTCTGTGTGGAACAACAAATTGCGTAATTTGCCCTTACGGCAGGGACGGTGATTGCATGAGTTCAGGTACGATATACCTGATCTCGTGTAACAATTGCGGAGATGAATATATTGGCGAAACGGGCAGACCTATGTGTATCCGTATAAAAGAACACCTAGATGGCAAACGAAAACTAAGACGGAGCACCCCACTAGGCACGCATGGGATACAAAAGCATAGGGGAGACGATTTTGAAGTAAAAGTCAATACCCTTGCACAGGAGTCTAAAACACCAGGGCGAAAATTCCTTGAGGCTTTTTAGATAAATGCCAAAAACCCTACAATGAATAGCAGGGATGAATGCCCGGAGGTTATACGCGACCTGATCCCGTATGTTCGCATCGATTTTTTATGTGGGATGTTGCAGTCGTCAACCACATGCGACTATAATCAACTGTTCCAAACTTCCTCATTGGAAGTCACAAAAAGCGGTGGGTTTTTCGAGAAGCTGTTGATCGTGTAATTACCAAAGAGCTTTTCGTCTTTTTGTAAGTGTTATTGAAGCGTTTGGCCTAGTAGATTGTATATCAGCATGCCCTTCCAGGCTCTGAGGAACTGCCGAAACGTCAGCTAGTGTTGTATCGTATTGTTTTTCTATGGAAGTAAATGTATGCTGTTTAAAAACCTCGCGATTGCTGAACAAGAAAACGACACATTCATATTCCAATGCCGAGGTTAAGAGAAAGTCGATCCTGGGAACTATTGTGATTATAACTAAGCCTCAGCTTAACTGGGTTCAATGCCGATTTGGGCTCCCCGGATCAATCCCGTTGACGGGTGATTGCTGATGGCAAAAAAGATCGATAGAACTAGCTGAGAGACAGGCAAGACGAAGGACCCGGATGGTGTAGTGGTGAAGTGCACTGCTGCACGGTAAGGACAACAGCGCGTGTTTGTTCCCCACTGCATACACCTGTGATCCGGAGTTTTGCAAATATCTCAGCATTTCATACGAATAATAACAATAATACAATAACAGTGTTGGTTTGTGGTAGGATAGGAAAGAAAGTTGATCAAATAGACCGGGAAAATATGTAGAGCTGTTAGGGCAAAACTTAATCATCGACGCACAGATTTAGTTTTGAAAAAGGATTTCTTCAGTTGCTGTGAAATACTGTCGAGCTTTGATAAGCGAAGCGCATTATGACGTTTGACGTAGGTGGAATATTCGTCTCTTTCAATCACTTGAATCTCGAAGAAACGAAAACATTACAGCAAACAATCTGATGTAAATTTCCATCTTAAGACTGAGTATTAACTACCTTCCTCGGCTTTCGCCACATGAGAGAATGCTGAAGAACAGCTGCCATAACGACGTTGAGAACGGCAAGGAGAACAGCAAAGTGCATGTTGAGCAACAGAGATGTTTTTAACATGGAAATTAACAATAATAACAATAATACAATAACAGTGTTGGTTTGTGGTAGGATAGGAAAGAAAGATTATTATTATTAGCTTTTCCTAGAGTGATTACGGTACTCCTTCTTAAATTTTATGTTTGATGTCAACTACAACAAGTTGGATGTCTTTTGGAGCTCGTTCAAATGTTTTGTGACCGAATGCGAAATGTCAGAAATCACTATGCTGCCGTGAATTGAAACCTTACTGCCGGCTTGCTTTATAAACCATTAAAGATAGAGGTGATTAAGTGGTTTTGATAACGCTTTCTTGAGGAAGGGCTCCTTCCAACACAAACAGAATAGTCTGGATTCGATAGACGTTTAGCGATCTTTCGTTTCGCTAGTGTAATCAATTTACTGGGTTACTGATGGGTTTACACAAGGTTAGCACAAATATTTATCATGATTAATGTTTTGGCGGTTTCGTCTTCATCAGAGCAACAATAATTCGAGTCGAATTTCCACAGCGGTTGTTCTTTCTTGCATTATTGGACTACCTTACCGTCGCATCCAGAAAAAACGGAAGAGTGGAACACCGCGCTAATAAAGTTACGTGTCCAGTGTTGTCCATCTATACAGGACTCTGGCCGCGCTGAAATGATCTAACCTGGCATCGCAGTTCCCAGGGATACAGAACGCTTGAACGCTTGTGCACTAAAATTACTTTAATTAATAGCTGGCATGTATCAAAGTAGACATTCGGTTCCGACTTTCATTGAACCTCAGTTAGGATGGATAATATTTTGAGATACCGATGAACTTACAGTGGTTGATACAAATATTTATTACAGCTAACGGCCGCTTTAAAGTTGACTGCCCTTTTAAAGAAAAGCCAAAACTGGACAGACTTCTGATGGTCTAAAAAATATCACTCCGAAATTAAAGCGTTGGAAATGGCACAGCGGTTGCACCAGTAATCGATTTCCGGTTAACAAGAAAACGAAACGAACTCAAGAAGAAGCCTAATCCACACTTGGATGTGATTCGCTTTGTAGATGAGTTCGACTACGGTTTATCCTACCTCTTGTAAAGTGTGTGGTGGCCAATGCATTGCCGAGATAACAAGGCCATTCTGCATCCGTATAGAAGAACGCCTAGCAGGTAGATTTAAACATGGAACACAGAAAATAACGGAGAAGATTTTGAAGCAGAAGTAAGCATCCTCGCACAAGAGACGAAAACTTCAACGCGCAAAACTCTCGAAGCATTCTGGATAAATTCTGAGGATCCGCAATTGAATTGCAAGCAGGAGTGGTCTCGTTGCGACGCTCGACCTAGCGAAATACGTCAGGGCGACTCTTTGGCCTGACACACTCACATTCCGCACCCATGTACTCTAAACCGTGACATAAACGTTCTCCTAGCGAAACTCTAGAACAACGTCTAATGTGCCTTAAAATTTGAAATAAGCTTGGGGGGCGAAACTCCAGAAAAATCCTAACGTAGTTTAAGCCGCGAAATAAGCGTTTTCCGAGCGAAACTCTCGAATAACGTTTGGTGTGCCTTGGTTGTTCTTCACCAAATAACTAGAAAACCTATAAAGAACAAAATGGTGAGTTCAATGATGCTGAGATATTTGCAAAACCCCGGACTACAGGTGTCTGCGGTGGAGAACGAACGCGGTATTGTCCTTTCGGGAGTAAAGCGTTCACCACCACACCATGCGAGTCCTTCGTTTCGCCTGTCTCTCGGCTAGTTCTATCGATCTTTTGTCATCAGCAATCACCTGTCAATGGGATTGATTTGAGAAGCCAAAATCGGCAACTAGCTGAGAGACAGGCAAAACGAAGGACCCGGATGGTGCGGTGGTAAACGCGTTACTCCCCAGAAAGGACAATAGCGCGTTCGTTCCCCACCACAGGCACCTGCGGTCCGGCGTTTCGCAAATATCTCAGCACCATTTAAGTTATATTTCGCAATATACCCTGTTATTAAAATGAATAGGCAGTAAGTAATAAGTTAAAAATGGTGAGTGTTTAAAAAAAGCTGTCTTTCCTGCGAATGAAAAATTCATGTGTTATTTTTCAAGTAATTTCCATTTCAATTTTCCGTAAATCGTTTCCAATTTTTTAATTTTTAATTTTTATGTTTTAAATTCCGTCCATTTAACTCATGAAGGTGTTTGGCTCAGTGGACTGCATGGCAGTTTGACCTTTTTAGGCTCTGCTAATGTGGAGAGACCGCCGAAACACCAGCCGTAATAGGTGTTTATGAATAATAATCTCGTGTGAAATCGTCAACAAACCACAAAATCAGCTATCCATATCGAGGCTCAGTGAAAGTCGGATTGGAATGTTTTCTTTGCTGAATTTCTTATTGCATTTTTTCATTTTAAATGAAGGGCAAAATAAACTGGACTTTATTACTACTAGAGTTCTCGTTTGGGGGACCATTAGAAATAGCCGTTCGCCGCATCAATTTCCGAGATTCCTCCTTCCGTTCTTCCTATTCACTCGCTGCTTGCTGCTCTAAACATTTTTCTTAAAAGAGTCTTTTTTATTTGAAAATGAGAAGAGAGGTAATGAACCAGTATGTCTTTACTATTTGGCTTTTGGTAATACTTCGTAATGCAGCCGTTTTCGGAAAGATTAATGTGAACGTTCAGAAATGGAAATCACTTTCCTTTCGTTTTCTCTTGGGTAAACTTAATTGACTGTCCATTCAATAACTCAAAACATTTGCCCACTTCCTCTTTTGCTGAGCAAATGGCAAATGGTTTTGTCTTTCAAC